TTTTTATTTCCGTTAACGAAAATGTTTTTTCACTTCTAGTTTTCGTTATTTCGTTAGTTTTCGATAACGATAATAACCTTGATACCATGTTCTTGTAGGGAGACAGCAGTCATGGTGGGACTTTGATGACCTTAATCATTTTTAAGTTATCCTCATCTTTGTGTCACAGGTTGACATGGTTTCCAGTTACGTTCTTGTGTTCCTTCAAGCTAATAATGCCTTGAAAACGCACAAAACAAAACTAGTTTATGTACATTACTATCTCAAAATAAGCTTTACTCCAACCCCCTCATATTCTTCCTGCATAATTTTCTAATTATTGCGTTAAGATGTATTTTAATATGTCGAACCCAAAGACTGCTTTTTATCTCTTGTGCGTCAGATTTGCAGATTATGGCTGTATGCTGGAGATTCTCGATCTGGAGCTCTTGCCTGATGGACGTTCTTATGTGGAAACAATTGGTGGGAGCAGATTCAAGGTACTGAAAAGAGGCCAAAGGGATGGTTACCACACCGCTGATATAGAGTACCTAGAGGACATCAAGGTGAGGGTTTCTGAGATTACAAACAGCAGCATTTCTCTCTCTGTCTCTCTCTTTGTGATTGTTAATATCGTTGCGTCCTCTTTCTCTTAGGTTGATGGCAGTGAGTTGGAGCTTCTGCAGCGTCTGCACGACAGCGTGTACCAGCAGGCCCAGGACTGGTACCAGCGACTCGGCAGCCGCATCCGCGAACAGATTAACAGACAGTATGGTGCCATGCCGGATAAGGAGGACAATATTCAGGTTTGTGCTTTAAGTGTGATGTTTGCTCTGTTAACCTTTGTAAAACTCATTTCCCTCACTCTGCTCAGAAGCCACTGCTTTTACCCTTTTAAATGTCAAATAGTGACCAGTGTTATCATGAGTGCAAAAAAAATCTAAAAGATTCATTTTTTTTCTTAAGTATTCTGATCGATGTCTTTGTAAATGTTTTCATGCGCCGTATTAGTATGTAATAGTAATGTTTAAGTTATAATAGCAATAGCAAAAACACTGAGGTTTTGCCTCAGCACGTCATTGACCAGTGAGATTATGTAATTGCAGCTACGTCCAAATTTTATATTCAGATGTTGGTTTTGAGTAGTGTTTCTTTAAAGAATGGCTTTCAGTCTCTTTAAATGATTTTATGGTAGTGGAACAGAGAATTATCCAGAGTATTATTCAGTTACACTTAGGTTTGGGCGATTGGACGAATATATCGACTATCGCTTTTATCGACTATCTTTTTTGATCGTTTTTACAAGGGCGATTTATTCATTTATTTGCCAGTGGGTACGTTTGCTAATAATGATGCAGTCATATAGAAAATAGAAAATAGAAAAGTCAACAGAAAAAAAAGTAATAGCGTTGTTTTAACAGCACTTTGTTTCATCTGCGAGCAAACGCACCCTCCTCAGAGTGCGCCCAAATGCTTGTTGATGGAGCTGCAGAAGCTGGTGATAGCCTAGCCTAGCATACTCAGCCGGATGGCGGACACGTACACGCTCAAGTCGTGTTTGAGTACTTTCCTCGTACTATACGTCTGCACAAGTGGCACACCGCTTTGGTTACATCCTTAGGTTTACCCTTTTTCATCCCAAATGGGTTGTCAGCGTTAACGCGCCGTCATCACGACTAACACGATTAACAATTAACCCATCTGGAGCACAGACTGACTCAAAATCCCTGAAATGTCTCTGTCAACGGATTTCGGGCAGTTTGTCCAAAGTTTGTTCATTCTGTGATCCAAATGAGTTAATTGTGATGACCGCATTAACGCCGACAGCCCTAATTTTTGGGGGAAATTAGTTCGTTCATGTTTGGACTTCTGAGTTGTAAAGGCGCAAATCAGTCTGTGCCTGATTACATTGCTGCGCCTGTCAAAAAGTCTGCACAGGCGCAAATGTATCGCCCATCGTTGATTATTGGATTGACGATTTTCGGTTGAGAGAATTTAAGTTTTCATTAGCATCACAGGGTTATTGGACTGGTTTGGCACTTAATGTATTTTCATGATTACAGAGGCTAAACTTTCTCTTTTAGGCTTCGCCTAATGGTCCAGGATGGTGCTGGTGGCTGCTGTCTGTCCTCCAGCTGGACCCCGCCTATCAGACCACCGTCCTGTCCCTGAACTCTCTCAAAGATCGCCTGGGACACCTCCGCCTTGTCCTTGAGTACTTCTCTCAGAGCTAGACCCTCCAGCACAGTGGTACTGAGACCACGGCTAACTGACACCAATATTATGCACAACACATTAAAAAAGAAGTGAAATCAAACAAATGCACACACAACACATTTTGAGTTTCAGGGTTGGGTTTGGGACTATCCTGTATCGTTTCTATTTACTGTGCTCGAGTCACAACTGAAGGCCAGATCACCTGGCTGCTAGCTAAAAGCTTGTGATTTTTATCACACAATCCAGTTGGTCAGAGTCAGGTTTTTGCTGTTTTGAGTGTTTCATATATTTCTTACACCAGAATATTCTTCTGCACACACACTGTACGTGCTGTACCAGTGACAACTACAGGGTTGACCAAAGATTGATCATGAATTGTGGGGAAATCGATAACATTGCAGAAAACTAACACTGGGTGTCACTGTTTCACTCCAGTTGTTACATTTAGAAAATCATGCAATAGCATCAGCCCAACTGTTAAACGTGCATATATGGTCTACTTCAGCTGCACTTGTTGCATTCAGAAGGAAGAGAGCTGAAATAAGCATAAACAGCAATCGGCACTTAATTTGTAGAGATATTTTTTGCAAGACTATGAACCTCCAGAGGGTGAAAGTTCATGTGCCAAAATATTTTTTGGGGAAAATTCACAGTGATTGTCTTGTGCTGCACAACACTATTTGTAATGCCTGCATGTTAACTGCATCTACGCTATTGACTATAACTAAGTTTGTACTATTAAAGAATTTACTAAGATCCCTATTTAGCACCGGCGAATAATCCAGTAATTTATACTATCACATGGCAGCAACTTGAATAAAAGCTGCTGTTTTTTTCTTTTTCAGTGAAATGATGGCATTGAGATAGCAGCAGGTTTGCATTATGCTACGAACCTGCGATTATGCATGCTGATGGTCAAGTAGCGGTCAAGTGTGTCAGGTGTAAAACAAGTCACTCTTGACACAAGCCATTGTTTCCACTTCTTTCTTTTTCTTGTTTTTTTTTTTTTCTTTCAAAAGTAGATATGGTGTGTTGTCTGCACTGATAACAGTTACTGTAAAGTTTGAGTCTGTGTAGGTGGTGACACCTAACTCTGGCCCATCTACCACCAAAGTCGTGGTGCCTTTGAGTGCCTGGGCTGACCCACCAGGAGACCTGCAAGTCTTAGTTTTTACATGGCGTTGATGATGAACTGGGTGATCTTTTGTGGAGATAGTGCTACATTCCGTGGAATGTTGAAGCTGTAAAGTAACGTAGAGCTAATTTACTAAACACTACAGGCTTAACTGGGTGATTTTAAAAAAAGAAAAATTGATACATGTGCCATTGATATTTCTATATTAATTGCTTTATATAAATAGGTGGCCAACTTGTCACTGTGTTTATGTCTGTCTATATCATGGATGCTGAAGCTAGCCTTGATTCCTTTTATGCCTTTTGTATGGTGGGCAGCAAACTTTTTTTTTTTAACATTTCTTGGCCAACATATCACTTTAAATAATAAGAATTAGACCAGCAACACACTTAACAGATACAGTTTTTATGACAGGGAGACGCGAAAGTCAGTTTCCTGCTTCCAGACAATAAAGCTAACTCAAATCAGAAAAGGGATTTAATTCCATGTCCACAGAGGCGATTTTTTTTTTCACCTCTCTGACTCAATTTCTAAGACAAATACTTTTGCACATTAAAATCATTTTGGTGGGGCTTTGTTTTCTGATGCTCACCTACAGTCCCTCACACCTCTTGCATGTTTCTGTTTGTCAGTGTTATCGTTTGAAGAGATTTCCATGAATAGAATAATGATCTGTGTCGATCATAGCCAGCTATGTCACGTTAGTTTACTCTGCGCCGCTGTGAGATTACAATTCACAATGTTTTTTTTGTTTGTTTTTTTTTTTACATAACAACTCATCCCAGTCTAACTCTTTGTCATCTTAGTGTTTAGCTGGTGTCCATTCATTGGGTAGGTTCAAACGTCTGCTAATGCATGCCCCCCTCTTTACACCCTGGCAGCTGTTCATTGACATCGGTGCTACCGGACTGTCAGAAAATGCCCACGAGCACAGTTAAACCAGTTTTCACTGAATCCACACCGTCTCCAATGCTGAACACGAGGCATAATCAGCGACCTGTTCTTGGCAGCGATTGCCCATGAGAATGAGCCGCACAGTTGTCTGCTCAGGAAAAAATAAAAAAGGCTGTGAAAAGCACCATGGCGACTTGTTCCTGCTATGTGCTGCAGATCTTACAGGAAACATTGGCCGCTGTGGTTGGACGGTCAGTGGTCTGTGGGCTGCGTGTGAACTGAAGACATGCCTGTTTTAGTACCACTCTGTCAGCACGCATGCAAATCTGCCGAAAGCGAGAACAATGTGCGCCAGATGACGGATTTGCTTTTAAATCCCCCCACCCTTCAAGCCAAGAGCAGCGAATGATCTTGATCTGAATATTTCTTACCTGCTTGCCCACCCCACCCCCTCCCTCCCAGATTGAACTTTTTAAATGTTGTTATAAATAAAAAAAATTCTCACATTCTGCGTTATCTTCCTTTAATTTTGTGTCTGAGTGATTTGAATGTCACGCTGCCAGTTTTTCTGGCTACATTTCACGCCAAATGGGAGCGCCAGGGTCTATTACAATTCACAGCATGACAGAAACCGACACATAGGAAGAATTGATGGGAGCAAAACATGCCTCACATACTGATAATAACACACTTTGGCAGGGAAACTGTTATAATTACTGAGAGATCTGTGAAGTGCTGCAGCTGCTGCAGTGTGAAAGGAGTCCATGATTTCCTCTTGTGGATAGAAATTTAAATTAGAAGAGGTTGAATGGGTATTCCCTGTGAATGTCCAATTGGAAGCTATTTCTAGATTAACTACACCAGCTCTAAAGAAATTGCAGGGGTTATGATGACTCACAACCTTCAGGCATTTCTTTTATTAATGGTGCATAATTCAAAGTTGGTTATTTTTAATCCAACCCAGACCTTATGTGTTAAATTGAAGGAAGTGACTGCAGCAGCACAATCAAAAATATGTTAATACATGTTTTTGTTGTTGTTTTACATAGACTCTAAACCTGCAATAGCCTACATATATGTAATGAATCAAGGTTCCACCAGGGGGCAGTCTATACCTGCTAAAGACTAAGGCATGGAGTCACACTTCACAAGACTGTTATTATATTTTATTTTTCTCATTATAATCTCAGTCCCAAACTGATCACGTCCACGAAAATAGGGTCAGCGTGAGATTCTCCAATACAGAGGCGTTAATACAAGAAGATGAATGTAGATGTCTTTGAACAATAATAAGGGGGAAAAAAGCATCTGTGCAGCAGAAGTGAGGTATATTTCCTGCCGACGTCCTCTGCATAGGAAACAGACAGATAAAAAGAGGTTTCACTGGCTTCAGTGAGGTTCTGTAATGCAGCTCAGCGTCGACATCAAAGCCCATTACATTTGAAGAATGCCACAGCTTTTCTCTACTAAATTGATCCATCGGCTTGCGCTGACTCCCCGCTTGTGTATGACTGAGTAAGGATGACAGGCGTTTTGTAGGAGTTATCGCAAAGGGGAGAACTCGCTCTGACTCTGTGCGTGTGTGTGCGTGCTAGTATTTCTGCTGTTAAGAGAATCAACATTTCTTGACGGGGAAAAGAGAATCCCCTGGATATTTTGGTTAGATTATAATATATAAAAGTTGGAATTTTCTGTTAGGTAAGGGTCTCGGTGCAACGCGACAGATAGAGGTAAAGTCAAGGCCCCGAGAAACAATATTGATACAAACAAGTTTGTATGCGCACGACTCCTTAATAATTATCCTCCGTGATTGTGGAACAACCCGCAGGGGCTTCTACTAAAATAGACATAGCCATACAATATGGAACAAGAGCAGAAAAAGAGCATCAGAGAACGCATGCATGCTTTTGTTGTCCTGGGAACAAAACCCAGCCTGGAAAACCAACATGTTAAGAGCAGGATTATCAATTAGGAAGTAAAGAAACTTTCTCTTTGAAGAGAAAAGCATTTTTGTGTACCTTACACAGCATGAAAGACAACACGCAGGGAGCTAATTCCTTCAGATATAAGTGCAGTGAATTGAAGCAGCTTGAAGGGGAGTGGGAGAAATTTGTGTGTGTTTGTGTTTTCTTGCTGTAAGATTAGTTTTTTAGTGTGTGTGTGTGTGTGTACTCATGCTTTCTTGTCGGGCTGAAGCTGATAAACTTAGCTTGTTTCTGTCTTTGTATAATCCTCTTGAGTGTCTACACGATGACAAACCCATGAGTACACTGTTGTGTGTCAGTGGCTGCGAGAGCCAAGGTAAACATATTGGCTACCACCCTCCCCCAAGGCACATATTAAATACTTTGGTGGAGAGAAACACAAGATTTAAAAAATAAAAGAACAAGCGAGAGACAGCCTGGAAAGGAGCATCGCGCCATAAGGTTAACCAGCCACACTCTGCTTTCTACGACACCTTATGAGTCAAGGCCTAAACTTGTGATTTGTGATAAGAACAAGAGAATTTGACTTTGGATGTTGTATGAGTGGATGCTAACATGTCAAAAAAATGAAGATGGATTAGATACCCCTCGGTGCCACTGTACATCTCTAAGGAAACACTGGCTCAGATTGAGTTGGTTTTATTGTTGTGTGTTCTTTACACACTTCATAGGAAAAAAAAAATACAATCCAAATGAAGCAGATTGGGATCACCTGCTGGCAGATGAAGGACAGGAGAAACAGGAAATGGTTGGGGCACCACAGGAGATGTGATGTCATGGAACTGGCTCACTGATTTGTAGAGCTAACCCCCACAGAGTCACACACCTGGCTGTGGGGCTGCTTTTGTATGGTCTGCATGCACGGCGCGTTGCTGGTGTACGAGAACAAAGAAAAGGGAGAGCTGAATATAATAACAAGAGGTTGTTCTAGGGGACGGGTGGAATTAATAGGTATATGAATGTGTTCGTGGTTGATTTTCCACCGGCATTATGTGAATAGATGTTCAGAATTGTATTTGAGGGTCAAAGGCCAGCTGCTTGCTCCAAGGTAAGGTTAATGACTGTTTTTGTGGAAGCTACTGGGAAGCTGGGCTGCACTGTGTTTTTACTATACCAGCATGAGCATGTCAGAAGAAGTTCAGCCCAGCTTGACTACTCTGCTGTGTGGATGTTTAAAATTCCTGAACTCTTTCTATATAAAGAATGCATTTGATGAACTGGCCACTAACATTTAAATATTAATTTTGACACCTAAGTATATATCAATAAACCTCTTTTTTGATGCACATCCAGTCATTTTATTTAATAAGCAGGCCTGAAATATGACACAAACCGCTGAGAAAAGACCTGCAGTGGTGACTCTTGGTCAGCTTTCAAGGGGTAAAGAGTTGAACCTTGCCTGTACAAACTTTCGATGTATAGCCAGACACTGTTCAAATCCTCATTACTTTATATTATAGATTAGATTAAAGAATTATATAGGAACAGATTCAAGATTCAAAGTGTTTATTGTCATGTGTCACAAGAGAAAAAGGCATTTCTCTGTGCAATGAAATTCTTTCTTTGTTGTCCACCCACAGATGCCGATTAATATATACAATAGAATGGCAACTGGATTTAAAAATGATTCATAAGAAACATATAATATTCCTATTTGATCGAAGGTTGTTGCTATAAACTCCATGCTTATATTTGCTTCCATTATCTGGTTAACTTAAAATACACAAAACAGCCATGTGCATTATATCAAAATTATTTATTGTGAGGACTTTGAAGGAATGTAATAGATGGACATCCAAGTGTCACTAAATAAGTGTGTGCTGAACGGATGATCTGATATTGTCGTGTTGGTGTTGTTCCCAGATCATCATGAAAATGTTGTTCCAGGTTCAACATTGCAAGTGACCAATCACATTGTTGTGACGTTATTCTTTTGCGCGCCAAGCCATTCCTGCATTTATGAAATTCCAATGTTGCAAGGACAATATCAATTCTGCTTACAGTTTATTAAAGGGTTACGGTTACGGTTAGGGTTAGGGTCAGGGTCCGTTGATCGGCGGACAGAGGTGGTTTCTTGCAGCTTAAGTACATTTTTTTGTTTTATGGCGGTTTTTCCCAAAGTCGCAAAAGTATGACGTCAGAACATTCGGATTGGTCACTTGCAATGTTGATCCTTGAACAACATTTTCATGATGATCTGGCAACAACACCAACACGACGATATCAGATCGTGCGTGCTGAACATGCAAAGTCTTAGCCACTTCAACGATGTCAGTCTGGCATGCACTCAAGGCTGTGTTCAGTTTAAACAGATAGAAGTTGCATATATCCCTACCTTGATTATAGTACAGTAAAGACATTTGTGTTTGGTCGATTATGCTTCTTGGCAATAAATCTTACACAGTTGGAAATCCCTTTTATGTCCCCTTAAATGGTGTCAGATCTATAAGGAAAATACATTTGTGGGTTGAGCAGCAGAGTTTAGTGTGTGAGTTGTACCTATGAAAAACATGCCAGATCTTCTCTGTCAGTGCCAAACAGCTTAGTCTCTTCTTGAATCTTATTTTGAGCTTCTGGTACGCCAGGTGCTGATAATCAGGTGCCCAATTGGAATCTGATTAGCTGCACCTGTGAGCATGGACCCTGCTGCAAGGGTCAGTCGGTGTCTGCTCCAAGCATGATACGTTTGATTGATCTGGATAGTGCCCATGCCTTAGGGCAACTTCAAGCTGGTGTTCCACAAAACCAAGTTGCAGACTTATTTGGGGTGAGGCCTAGTACAGTCTCCAAGTTGGAGTGCCAAGTTCCATATAACGGTGCAAATCAGAAACAGGCTACGAAGTGGGCATCTTAAGAAGATGACACCACCAAAAGACTGTTTCCTTACCCTACCAGCACTTGTAAAGCGTAGGTAGTCTTCTACAGATTTCTAAGTCAAGGTTTGCAGCGGAGAACACTATGCTGATTGCTGTACTGATGGGGTAATAGCCTTTGTTGGAGGCAGTATGATGGTGTGGGATGGCATAGCTCTCACTGGAAAAACAAGACTTGTCATCACTGGAGGCAATCTCAGTGCTGGCAGATACTGAGCTGAGATTCTGCAACCAATCCCATATCTCCACAGTGAGGGGGAAAAACTCAGACACTTCTTCCAGAATTTGGGACTTGAGAGGATAGAATGGCCTACCTGAAGTCCTGAACTAAACCCTACTGAACACTTGTGAGATCAGCCTGGCCGTGCTGTTCATTCCAGAGTGACCGACATAACCACACTGGCTGTTTTGCGACAAACACTGGTTCAAGAATGGGATGCCATCGCCCAGCAGTGTGTGACCAAGGTGATGACCAGCATGAGGAGGAGATGCCAGGCTGTTGGGAATGTGTATGATTCTTCCACATGTTACTGAGACCCCAGTTTGTTACATTAATAAATTGTTAAATTGCCAGTATATCTGTATATTGTTTCTTCAGACTTCAATGATTCAATCCAATACATGACAACAAACAAGAGTC